CCCCCCCGAGCTCGCTCCACATTCTTCTCAAAGGCTCCCAGGCCTACCTCAAGTACCCCACAACCAGATCGGAACACAACATCTCGGTGCGACGAGACCAAAAGCAAAAAAGGATCGTATTTACACCCGCCAACGACGAAGAAAAAGGAGCGAATATATCAAGTAGCGAGTCGGGAGAATCAAAAGCAAAGAGCGCAATCGTAGGGGGGCTGGAGCTACATGCCCAGATCCGGCAAGAGGAACGCTTCGGACCTCTCCTTGTCAATGACGACGCCGTGGACGTAGTGTACGCTGCGTTCGACAAGGGATCTCCTGGCGGTTCCATTTCCGTTGCTCTGACCGCAGTTGCCCGGACGGGTGCAAACGACCGCAGCGACGACGGCAGCGATGACGAGGATGAGCACGATGATGACCCAGAAGCAGATCCAGCGCTTCTTCCTCGCCTTCCTCGCCGAGTCGACGGCCTTGTTGGTATGCTGCAGTCCCTGCTGCATGTCGGTCTCGACCTGTGCGCCCTGCTCCTGAATCACGTTGAGCGCATCGTCCTGCTCGTCCACCAAGATGGACATCTCGTTGAAGAGCTGTGCGAGCTCGGTGATGGTGCGTTCGATGCGTTTGATGTCCTCGTGACGCTCCTGGACCTCGCGCAGCGCACCGCGCGCCTCGCCGTGGCGGTTCGAGTTGAGGAGCGCCTGCGAAAACACCTGGCCGCCCTGGTCGTCGTCGAGCGCCGCCTTGATCTCCTGCTGCGTCGCGTCCGGCTTGACGATGCGGAACTGACGCTCGGCACGCGCACGGTACTTTTGACGGTAGCTCTGCTCCACCTGCTGGTACCGCTGGATCGACTCCTTGAACCGGTTCTTGACCGCACCCACCTGCGTGTTGCGCACGTTCTTGTCGCCGCCCGCGGGCACGCGTTTGTTTTGGCTCTCGAGCAGCTTGATGCGGTTCTTGACGCCGTTGGTCAGCGACGAGGTCTCCTGCTGGATCGAGGCAAGCTGCTGCTCCGCATACTGCGCCGAAGCCTCGTCCATGTTGTTGAGCGAGCGCGAGTGGAGGTCCGAGATCTTGTTGACATTGTCGTCGATCTGGCGGATGGTGTCCTGGATCTCGGAGATGTCGCCGAAGAAGGCGTTCATGTCACCCGCGGGCTTCTCGGTCACGACGTTCTGCATCTCGTACGAGTTGGCTCCGGCAGCAGCGGGGGCAGCGTAGCCTGTTGGCTGCGCCTGGGGCATCTGTCCGTATCCGGTCTGCTGGGGGGGAGCGTAGCCCTGCTGGGGTGGTGCGTATCCTTGCTGGGGCTGGGCGTAGGCGGCCTGTGGCTGGCCGTTGGTGTAGGCCTGCTGGTCGTAGGCACCCTGAGGCGGTTGCTGCTGCTGCTGGGGTGCCGGGTAGGAGTGGTCTCCGTAGCCGTTGTTACCGCCGCCGTAACCGCCGTAACCACCCGCTTGTTGGGCCTGGAGAGAAGAGAGTGGGGGTCAGTCATCACGGCATGCGATGTGCGATGTTGTTGTCTTCCGAGACTTACCCTCATGGCCGCAAGACGATCGCGCGCCATTGTGACGAGCTTGTGCACACGGCAGGATGCAGGGATGGAAAGAGTGTCGGTCCGAAACGAGTGAAGCGATGCGCGCCGCGGTGGCTGAGAGCGAAAGAGAGTGTGGGTGACCGCGTCGCCGGGCGGGGAGCAAGAGGATGGATGTTGACGCGGGGCGTGGAGGGAATGGCGATGATGGGGCTGAGCGATGGAGGTGCGAATGGTGGCCGGTGCTGGCGAGCGTCGGTCGGAAATTGCAACGCGGCGCTGCCAAAAGCGAGACAAATGAGTGCCGTCACGCAGGGGGGGCCAAAGGCTGCACTCAACGGCGGTGGGTGGGCCGAGGCGAGACTGCAGCACAGTGGCAGCGCAGTGGCAGCGCAGTGGCAGCGCAGTGCAACCAAATGCGACCTTTCTGTGGAATGCAAGCGCGAACTTTTGGCTGCACGCACCTCGCCTGTCTCTCTTCTTTTGCTGCTGCTTTCCGTTGCTGCTGGCCCGCTTCCGCTTTCGCTTTGCTTGCTTTGCTTGCTTTGCTCGGTCGCTCCTTCTGCACAGATCGCCCTCGGATGCGCGACACATCTTCGTCCTCCTTGCGCAGCCACGCCCGCCTCAAGCATCGCCCTTGGAAGCATCGCCACAAGGCGGTGTACCCGCTCCTCGCCTCCAACAGTGTATGCTTCTGAAAGCGATGCACCCCCCTCTTGTCGCTTCTTCTTCGTAAGATGCAACTGAATCAGCAACGCCCGCACATTGCGCTCGCCCCGCTGCATAAGGCGATGCACCGATGCAGGGGTGTGTGCCGCACACTCGGACGTCTCGCATTTTCGCCCATCCATCCCCACCTCCGAGCGCAAAACAAAAACAGCAACGCCAACCCGCCTCGGCAACCCATCTCCGGCTCAAACCCGCCATTTCGCTCTAACACCCCCACACCCGAGCCAAAATTTCAATCTCACATCCTGAAAGTATCGCTTTTACGCCGCCTCTCTGTGTTGAGCCTTCCAAGCTGCAAACTTGAATGCAGACGTAGCAACAGCATGAAATCGAAACGAGCTCTATTGCCTAAGACTGCAGCTACTACTTCTTCATGCGCTGGCGCTCCGCACGCTGCGTCTTGCGCAGCTTCTTGTACTTGTGCTTGCGGATCTTCTTCCTGCGCTTCCTGCGCACGCTGTCCATCATGATGTTGTGCGCCTCGAGCAGCGGGCTCACCTTGACGCGCTTGCCCGCCTGCCCCGACGATGGCTCCAGCTCCGCATCCAGCTTGGTCGTGTCCACAACCGCGTCCATGCGCGACGGATCGTTCAGCGCCACCGCATCCATCTGCGCCACCAGCTTGTCCCACTTGAGCGCCAGCGGCAGCGTCGTCTGCACCAGCGCGTGCGACAGCATCAGGTTCGGGTCGTCGTCCGTGAAGAAGACGCTGTTGGCCACGTGCGGCCCAGCCACCGAGTGTGCCTCCAGCTCGCCGATCGCTTCGCCGTCCGCTTCACCGGCAACAGGTGCAGCCGGCGCCTCGTAAGCTCGGCCCTTCTCCGCCAAGTACGTCGCCACGCCGCGCGACCACTCGGCCGACGGGCCGTGCGGCTCGCCTAGGATGATCAGATCTGCCTCGGCTCCGAGCTTGCGCGCCGTCTCGGGATCCTCGCCGCGGTCCAGCGCATTCTGCACCGCCTCCTCCTCTTCTTCGCGCATCCTCTCCTCCTCTTCCAGCTTGGCCGACTCCACCGCCACCCGATCCGACTCTGGGTGGAAGCTAGACACGAGCCATCGCGTAGCACCGCCGTTGTTGGCGGCCACATTCGTCTCAGCCTCGATGCCTGCCAGGCCGTCGATCAGCTCGCCAAATCGCTCGGGTGCGATGGTGCGCATCCTGCGCCTCCACTGCGGCTGCGACTCGCCCGAAAAGTTGCCAAAGGTGGCGAGCGAACCGTCCGTCGTAAAGATGGCAGTGAGCGAGCCTCCCGATGGCGACGACGACGATCCAAAGCCACCGGCACGCTTGGGGCGCGGCGGCAGCATCTCGTGCTGCAGGAGCGGGCGCTCGTTGGTGAAGAAGCTCTCCCACGCCACGCTGGCGAGCGTCGATGGTGGTGGGTTGGCAGGGTTGATACCAGCCTTGGCGAGGCGCAGACCGTTCGACTTGACTTTGACCAGCGGCGAAGCCGTGCCCGACGCCATGTGCTTATCGGCGGTCGCGCCATTCGAGGCGGCCGAGGACGACGAAGCAGCCGAGCCGCTGTTGCCGGACGACGACGAGCCTCCTCCATTGCCTGGAGCTGATGCGTTTCCAGACGACTTGGAAGACGAGAGCACCGATGACGACACTCGACGCGACGATGAGCGCGTGGAGCGCGGGCCGCAGCTCGAGATGAAGCCGCGAGCCGACGCCGAAGAAGTGCTGATGGCAGAGGCGGCGGCGGAGAGTGCTGGCGCCGTGCTCTTGTGTGTGCCGAGCTGCCTCAGCAGCGAGCGGGCGTGAATGGAACGGCCGCGCATGGTTGCCTAGCAGCGCTGCCGAAAAGAGCTTCGAATGTGCTGCTGCGCCCTGCGGCCTAAAGAAGACGATCGAGTGTGGGCGTAGATTGAAGCCTCAAAAACGTGAGAAACTGTGGTTGGTGAAGTGTGGTGTTGGAGATATGGTGGTTGAAAGGTGTGAAATGACGATCGTAGGTGGAGAGCTGAGTTGCTGCGCTGTGCTGTTTTTGCGCCGCAGCGGACATCGGCGTGGCGCGCTGTCGTGATAAGACCCGAGGGCAGCCCCGTTGCCTTTGCCCTTGCCTTCGCCCTCGCCCTGGCTCTGGCTCAAAGGGGCCCACTTTGCAGCTCATTTTCAGCTGCGCAAAAAATCAGCGGCGCGTGCTGATTCGCCTGTTTGGCTTGACTGCTGAGCCAGCCGGTGTTTTTGCGCCGCCTGGCCCTGCGGGGCGAGCTTCGATCACGTTCGAGTCTTAATTTTGCGCCGGTAGCCTGCTGCTTTTGCTGCTGCTCTTGCTGAGCCACGCACGGAGAGCTGGGTGTGGCCTCCACCGGTGTTGCCGACGCTGTTCATCTGGCTTGCAATGCTCGCCTGCCGTGCCTCCTCATCAGCTTCAGTAGGGCCAGCTTCTGTCGGACCCCGCTCGCAGTCAGTCAAAGCGACACAATAGCAAAGGGAATCTTGGTTTACGATGGATGGGAAGGGTAAAAATACAAGGCACCTACGGCCGTCACTGTGGAAGAAAGGCTTGCTCTTGAATCAGGCCTGCGCGGCGGCCATCTGGCGCCCGATGATCGGAGCTGCGGAGCTGAGGCCGTCGATGTCGCCGTACTCGTCGGACTCGCTCATAAACTGCTCTGCGTGCTCCTTGAGGTACTGCACGCTGCGCTTCTCGTCGACAAAGAGGTTGTACACCCTGCGCACGTCGACCACCTCTACGGCGTCGGCCTTTCTGCGCTTGGCAGCCAGGTTGGCCGTGGTGATGAGGTTGATGGCGTATCGTAGCGACGTTTCGGACGCCATGCGCGTCAGCACCTCGAGCGCCTCGGGCTTCAGCGACACCTCCTCCTCGGCGGCGCGGATGGTGAGGATCTGCTTGAGGTCGTCCAGCTCGTACGGCTTGGTGCTGATGATGAGCACGCGGTCGAGCAGGTCGATGGGCATGCCGTGCGGCGAGCGGAAGCGCGTGCCGCGGATACGGCAGATGCCGCGGTTGGACGCCATGATGACGAGCGGCGCCAGCTCCGACTCGAGCGCACGGTTGAGGAACGAGAAGCACTCGATGTCGAGCATGTGCACCTCGTCGATGAACAGCACGCCCGGCACGATCTCGGCCTTGCCCTCCTCGCGCCACTCGCCCACCTTGGTGTTGATCTGGTCGCGCAGC